ATGCCCGCTTGAGACCGGGCACGGAGGCGATGCAGAGGATCCTGGCGGAGCAGACGGCGATGCACGCCTCCACCGTAGGCTCCTTACGGATGCTGAGCAAACAAACCTGCCCCACGTAACCATCGCTGTTGCAAACCCAAACCTCGTGGGAGCTTTCCGGGCTGCCGTGGCTGGGAGAAGCACAAGAAAACTGCAAGGGAGCAAAAGATGGGATGAGTTGGGTCATTCGGGAATGATGCAGGAGCTCTCGGCATCCGGCGGCAAGCCCACTAGGATGGAGAGAACTGCAGCTCCCGTGGGATGCTTGAACTCAACCACCAAGTACCTGCATCCCGCTCCGTGTCTTCATGATGGGGATGGCCTTGAGGAACTCTGGGTCCAGGCAGTTTTTGCTGGAAGCTAGGAAAATCGAATTGGAGGATGAAGAAGTGATGGAGAAAAGGGGTCTACCAAAGTGGGGGCGTGATGCCAAGCCCACCACTGTGTCCACTTCCCCAGTCCCTGGTGTTACCCAGCTTCTTCTTGGCATCCTCAAAGGCTTGCTCAAAGCCGAGCCGGGCATCGGGGTTGGGGAACTCAAAGATGAAGGACTCGGTGCCGTCAGCTTTGGTGGTGCTGAGCTCCACCTTGTTGGGGGGGAAGGCCATGCTGAAGGACAGGGATTGCTTCTCCGCCAGCTCCCGGTGGATGGCGGCCATCAGGTCCTTGATCACATCATCCAGGCTCTGGGGATGGGGACAATGCTTCAGCTCTCAGGGATGGGCCACCACCAGCCACATGCCTGATGATGCCCCCTAGCATCCTTCAGAGGCTGCCCCAACCCCATTGTGGCTTTGGGGCTGGTGGCATCTGGGCCCTTAGAGGACACTCATGGCCACCAGCTGTTCCACAGGCTCTCCTTCCCACCAAGGACATCCCAGTCGGTCTCCTGGGGAAGGCGTCTGGCCGGGGGACAGCACCAGGGCCACCATGTGACGCTGACCCTGTGCATCCCCAAGCATCCTTCAGAAGCTGCCCCAACCCCCCTGGTGGCTTTAGGGCTGGTGGCATCCATGGCCACCAGCCCTTCCATAGGTTCTCCCTCCCACTGAGGACATCCCAGGTGGTCCCACAGGGAATGTGTCCAGCCAGGGGACAGCAGCAGCAGGACCATCATCCCCATACCTGGTGGGGGAAGCTGAGGGTCTCCGACAGCTTGCTGACTTGCCCCAACGTGCTGAGGTCTTCATCCAAGCGGCAGATGCTTTTCTGGATACTCTCCCGGTTGGTGGCTTGCGAGGCACCTGTGTGGGGACAGGCGCGTGGCATTAACCCCTTCACCCCTGCCAGCCAGGGGTGAGCGATGGGTTTTGGGGTGGGATGGAACACTCCAGCAGGCAGTGACAGACCTTTGACGATGTCCACGTCCTCCAGCGGCAGCTTCCAGAGCAGTTTGTACTTGCTGGCGGTGTCAATCACGCTGGCCGCCGTGTACCTGCGAGGTTGGGGGGGGTTGGCTGAGCTGCACCCAGGTCCCCAGCACCCTAAAGACAACCCAGCCGGCAGAGACAAGCCCTAATGCCATGGGTTAATCGTGGTGGGTGCCCCCCAGGTGGTACTCACAGGCTCATGGAGCTGCGGCGGAGGGAGCCCGACTTGCGCTTCAACGTCGTGCACACCAGCAGGTCCGTGAAGAGGAAGAAGGAGCGGTCCTTTTTCCCACCCACCGCCTTCTGCGGAGTGGTGGGAGACACCAAAGGGTTAACGTCCAGCTCCCACCCCTCTGCCAGTGCTGGGAGCGGTCCCTGCCTCAGTTTCCCCACGCGCTGCCTTGGCACGGGGAGGCTGCAGGGTGGGACGGGTCCCACGCCACCGTCTGCATGGGGACTGGCTGTGTCCTCATGGTGGTGAAAGGGGACATAGGTGCAACGGCTGTGCGGGCAAAGCCACAGGGTTCCACGTCTGGGGAAGCACCAGGGTCATGGGAACACCAGGATTCCCATGGTCTCCACCTCCAGCCTCCCTGTCCACCCCCGCCCTGGGGCTGCTGCCTCCTGCCTGCTCCCAAAGCCATCTTATCTTCCCCCACACTCTTGGGGAATTTTATATTGTTCCCATCGATCTGTCATCAATCCATCTGTCCGTCCATCCATCCATCCATCCATCCTTCTGTCCACCCATCCATCCACCTGTCCAACCTTCTTTCCATCCATCCATCCATCCATCCACCTGTCCAACCTTCTTTCCATCCATCCATCCATCCATCCACCTGTCCAACCTTCTTTCCATCCATCCATCCATCCATCCACCCTTCCATTCTTGCATCCATCCTTCCATCCATCTGTCCATCCTTATAGAATCATAGAACCATAGAATATCTCGAGTTGGAAGGGACCCATAAGGATCATCGAGTCCAACTCCCTGCTCCTCGCACGGCTACCTAACACTAAACCAGATGACCAAAGAGCATCGCCTGGACACCCCTTTAACTCTGTCCGGCTTGGTGC